AAGATGCTTGGGCAGTCGGTAAACTTTGAAGTGTATTGCCATACTTTTTGGTTAAATAGATAAGAGGGTCCCAATTAATGAGTTTGGCAATGACCTTTTTCCTGCAATGGAGAATCCTGTTCTAAACGCTGCTGGAACGAGTTAGAAACCAAAAGAGCATTCAACACTCTTAACTTTTAATGGAATTAAGCTATTACACTTCAAATTTTCTTCTTTTATTGGAAATTATGGCATCTTTGGTGGCCTGTTAATGACATTGTCCAGGTTAGATGTCATATTTCTTCAGCATCTCAGTGCCAGTGTTGACTTTCTAAAACAACTACTGGAAGGTGTTATCTACCTAGTTGTGCAGATTGAGGCCATCAACGTCTGGAAGAATTTTGCTGAGACATTCCAATTAGCTCAATGCCGCAGGACGGTGTTTAAACACTCTTTCAAGCTAGGAGATTTTCTGGGCAATTTATTGGTATGGTTCTTGTTCAAGTCTTAATACCGTTATTTGTGTTGTGTGTTGTTTGGACGTAGTTCAAGCAGGATTGATAGCCAAGAGAAATTGGAATTGGGATATTAGTATTGCCGCTCATTTTGGTGTTGGATGGAGGAGAGTGTTGACCCTTTGACTGAATTTGTTAAAATGGATTACACCTAGCCAGGGTGAGTTTAAACTAAATACAGACCTACAGGACAGGCTGCAGGAGGTGGAACGTAAGAAATCAAGAAGGAATAATGGTTACAAATTCTATAATGAGTGTACTAGCTTTGTGGCTGAAGTAAAGGCTTTACTTAGAGGGTTGTTATTGTGTAAGCAAAGAAATATTAAACCAATACAGGTTGAGGTAGATTCCTTAAGTTTAGCTAACATTGTGCAGAAAAAAGGAATTAGGTATTGGGACGTGATCTGTCTACTGTAAGAAATAATTTTGTTATGCCAAGAATTGAATGGATCTAGTATGTATGTGTGTAAAAAGGCAAATACTGAAGCGGATTGGTTTTGCCAATAAAGGATACAGTTCCAAGTTAAACAGAATCGTGGAGAGATAATTTACGAGGAAAAATAAATTGGGATTCTAAAAGGGGACAGCTAGGTATCACCTAGCTAAGGACTAGAATAAGCAAAAAAAATCAACTCTGTTTCTTAAAATTCAGGAACCAGTAATGGAGGGATGAAAAAGTCCTGACGATATAGATGTATTGAGGGATGGAAAATGTTGGGACAAATAGCCATAGATTCAGATTGAAGAGATTGATGCAGACGAAACAAGAGGTTGATGACTCCTCTGACTAAGATGTAAGAGGAAACCAAGTTGATAACTCCACTGAATAAGATGAAAGTGAATGAGGACTCTATTTTTAGATGACCATGCCCTGATTGAATGATTGCTCAGTGTGATTTTTAACCATATAAAATGCTTTGTGTGCTTTGTGTATGCCTATGTGATAAACATTATACGTACTTATTGTATAATACATCTAGGATGTATGTGTGTGTTATCTGATTGTATGCTTCTCCTATAAATGTAATTAGGTTTGATATCACTAGAGCGTGATTTAACTTTCTGCTTGTGTCTATCTTACACTTTCGATTGCTATATTATCTATGATGGTGGGTTTTGCTTGTCTGGGTTTCATTACAAGTTCCTTATAATTAAAGGTCAAATGTCAACCTTTAATTTAACTACACATTTTTGTTGAACTTACAACTACTATATTCTTCTCCACCACTCATTTCTATCACGTTATAATTTAAGGAACTTAAAATGAAACCCAAACAAGCACTTGGTTGTTCAACTTGGTGCTCTCCTAAGAAATTTACATCTTGTAACGAGTGTTAGTTCTCCCGAATTTAATCTTTGCAAAGATAAACTTTATGCCTGTATACTTTAAAATTGTAAGGGAAGTAGTACTTCTCAGTTTATGTTTCATTAGCTCCTTTTGTAGTTTCAAAGGTAAGGCCCCTTCTTCGTATTTCACTTGATTATTAGCTTACAGGTTGGGGATGGTGCCAAACTCCCCTTCATTGGTTAAGCAGTAGACTTAAAAAAACTGGAGCTTAAACATCCGAGGAATTTAAGAAAAAATATTATATATGCATCTGTTATGTCTTTGCCCATTTCTAGAATTACCTTTTTATGCAACCATAATGTCATCTTGCAATTTCCTTTTCTGATTGTGAAATCTGCTACAGTTGAGACAATAAAATCTGAACTTCAGTAAAAATCAGGACTGCTCAGATCATTTGGGATTATTCTGGATTTACGTTTTGAGTGTAATTATTTTGCAGGTAATGTGAATCAATGCATGTTGGACATTGTTGCTTTGCTTGGACAATATTCTCTGCTTAAAACTAGCCAATGAAGCATTTTCCCTGACATAGAAAATGGTTGAGTAACACTTTGTGGAGTTACCTGGGAGGAAAAACGAAAAGAAAAGAAAGCGTCTCACTTCATGTTGGTACATTGTGAATCAAACTGATTTTGCCTGGAATTGTCGACAGTTTTGATCTCAAAAGATTGTACATTTCATCTATGGAGGAAACATCTTGATAATGGTAAGAATTTTGGATCAGATTTCAATTGATTTGTTGTATTTTAGAATTACTTAAGTTCAGTTTGTAACCATGATAGAATATCCTATAGGCCATGATGTTACATAGTAGACAGATACGTCAGTGCATTGACAGTTTCTTTTTATTCTGTATTTTGTATATTATGTCGGTAAATTGTTCTTTAGGCTATTGGGAATTTGACCTTTTAAGTTTCCTCGTCCATGGAGATTTTGAATGTGAGGTTGATATTACTCTTACAGACATGGTAACTATGATAAAATTTCGACCCTAATCTAACTATTGTTTTTAGTCTAGCTAATTTTCTTTCAACTCTATGTACCTACATTTATTTCTGGACTTCATTGATGCAATCTGTTTGGATTTGATTGTTAGTAATAGTGGTAAAGGCACTAAATGTGTTGATAATAATTAGTAGTTGTATTCTCTCAGGGCCACTGAGGTGAATACATGACTGTAAACTTCATGTTCTTTGGGATTAGTCGAGATGCGCATAAGTTAGTCCAGACACTCACGACCATTAAAAAAAAAGAAGAAGAAGTATTAATATGTTATTGAACTTAAAGTTTTATTTTGATTGGACAGAAGTAACTTTGAAGTTACTCAAAATGTTTGTCAAACAGAGATTGCAGTATATTATTTCGACATTTGTGCCAGGTGAAGACTATGTAACGTTTCTTTTTCATACTTTCGCCTCCCTAATTCTGGTTATTTATTTTTTACACAGTTTTCTCATTTACTGGAGGTAAAACTTGAAAGTCCGTTGTCTAAGTTCACTGTCATCCCTGTGCAACACATGATATTAAGAGTTTGCTTGGGTCCATTTTTTTTTTTTTTTTTTTTGGAGAATAGACTTGTGTGATATTAATTTGTTAAAGAATATGTGGTTAAAAGCATGAAGTAGATTTGAGTTTTATTGAAAGAATGTGTAGTTAAAAATAAATTTTTAAATAATGGTGATCAAACATGGTCTAAGTGTCTGTTATACATGACTTTGGAGAAATAAAAAAAAAAAAGGCTTTTCAGATTCAAAAGTAATATTTGGTTAATCATATAGTAGTGTTTCTTTTAGTTAAAAAAGTTTTTAGAGAAAGTTAATTCTACGTGATTTCTTAAAATCTCCTTTGAAAAAAGAATTTCTTTTAGAAATTAGTTTTTAAATATCACTTTTTTTCTCCTTTTATTTTTTATTTTTATTTTATTTTATTTCTTTAACGATAAAAGTAGAAGTCCTGCCCATTTAGAAAAAGTAAACAAATCTAACATTAAAATAGGGATGGAAAAAAAACACTTGTCAAATCTGATATTTGTGAGGCCTCTTTTCGATCGGGGCGGGGATTACCAGTCTAATTGGATATTTGGGTCAGGTCGGGGAATTTTGCCCCTAGGCGAGCCTTTGTCCTTACCCCCGTTTAATTATTTTATTTTATTTTAAATTCAATATTTTAAATAAAAAACTCTACGAAATTTCATTAATTTTAATAGGCGATGACAATTAAGGTTATCTAAGAAATATAATAAATAATTAAAATATTAGTTTATCAAATATATTAGAATAATTTATATTTTGAAAATAAATAAATTAATTAAAAATTTTAATACTATATTATCGTCTCGTTTTAATGAATGAGGACAATACAATGAATTATCAGCCCTATCAGCTCCGCCTTAAACAAGTAACGAAGCGGGTACAGAACAGGAATTACTCGATGGGATGGGGCCCAGTTACATCCCTACATTAAAAAATCTTAAAGCTGTATCTAACTTTAGTTTCAAGAACAATGAATATACGCAAACTAAATGAAGGTACATCTTTTGTAATCTCTTTGATTCTTGAGAAATTGTTCTTCTATTCATAATGGGTAGAATAAGACTACTTGTTGATGTGCTAGGAGAACTTCACTTACGGTTATTTCGAAATGTGAGAAACGTATGATTCTCTCTAAGTGAACAAGATAAGACTACCCACTATAAGACATGAGAACATTTCTGTAACTAATTAGTAACAAGTATGTCGGTAAACATGTCAGCAGACGTAACATTTTCTCCAAACTTACCCCTTAATTAATAATTATATATACAATTGTACTAAAGTACCCATAAAATGTGATAATTGGAAAATGTTTGATTCTTTGGAGGTTATACAGTAACTTATTTGGAAAAAAGAAAAAAAAAACCCTCAATTAGGTCTGTTGACCTCAAATTTTGTATTCTTGACGAGGATAACAGATTCCCAGACTTCTCATGTCCACACTTGGACAAACCGTTAGCTACACATGACTTCTTCTTGGTGGTGGTGGAGTTAATCATGCTTACTTCGACGGTCAAATCAGTTAAAGTAGCAAATATGTAAGTGTGAAAGGGTTTTAAATGCTAGTCTCCAATATAACGGGGGGGGGGGGGGGGGGTTTTTTGTTGTTGTTTAAAAAAAAAAAAAAGAGAGGGGAGGGCAATTTCGTCATTTTTCTCGACTGTGTCGGAATGGGCTCAAATTTGACAGGTTGATCGGGAA